CTAGGAAGGCATCTACACCTTTCTTCTCTGCAAAGATGAGCACTAGTTGGGATGTTTTCTTGAATTCTATGTTCTGGATGATATCCTGGCTGGACCTTCCACCATGGCCTGTATTCATGGTGATAGGCTTTACCCAGACAGTCTTGGAAATTTTCTGAACCTCTTTCGCATAGTGACATGGAAGAATAGAGCTTGCCATTAACCCTTGAAGTAGGAAAACCTGGTGAGAGTGCCAAAACCCTTGTGATCATATGGTCGGCCTCATTCAGAGCCAAGCAGCAGCAGATGTTTAGGCTGACCATTTACTCCTACAGGAAATCCGTATTGCTCCAAATAATGGAGCATCATGTGTGTACCATACTGGATGATACTCTCTGGTGGGCATGCCTCAGATGCAGAGAGCACAAGGCAGGAACAATATCAGATGCAGTAATCGTTCAGGATGCTAAGGGTCTATTTGGCCACTTTTCATGAGAGGTAGATGATAAGTCCATTGGGCCATTTTAGTGTTCTGTTGCTGTGATGAGACACCATGACAACCGCAAGTGTATTGCCCGCATGGATGTCTGTCTGTGTAGCATGTGTGTGCAGTGCCCAAGGTGGACAGAAGTTGACTTGGGTACTGATTGGTGGTGGGTGTGGAGGTAAATTCGACAGTAATTATTAATAGACTAGGTAGCAGAATAATTCAGAATGTAAAGAAAAAAGTGATTCTCAGCTAAGCCGTGTGGAAAGAATCACAGATTTGCCTGGTTAGCTAGGACTGGTGGCACACACCTGTCGCACCAGCATTCAGGGAGGCAAAGTCATGCGGATCTCTCTAAATTCAATGCCAGCCTGATCTACAAAGCAAGACCAGGACAGCCAAGTCTACACAGAGAAACCCTGTCTGAAAAAGCAAAAACAAAAACAAAAAAAAATTATTCCCGATTATTCTGCATTCGTGACCAGCTTAGGTGATTTAATGACACTCTGACTCACCCCGCCCTTCAAACATTGCTTGTACATTCCTGCATGCGTGGACACACACACACACCCACACATACTTCTAAGTTCTCTTCCAGGATGAGGTCCTGTGTAACTAGTTCTGGGTTTGGCAAAAGAGGAAAGAGAATATAGTCCAAAAGACCTGCAGACGTTAGCTGGCATGAGCTGCTAACAGGAGTCAGGAGAACAACCCCTCTATGAACATAATTATGAACCAACAAGAATCCATTCCCTTGGGCATAATTTCTCTTGGCTTAGGATACATCTGAGCAAGAATCGTAGGAGATGAGACAGAGTCAATGCCAAGATGACTTAGCCAGAGAAAGTGGCAACCATGGCTGATCCAAGTAGAAATGCTGAGCTTGTAAAGGCAAAGGAGAGATGAAGGAATAATGAGGCTGAAGAAAATAGGCCTGGAGGGACGGAGATGATATTTGAGGTCTTATCTGCGAAGGGGTGTCCTTTGCACAACCTCACAGGGTGAAGTGCTGAGAAGGCCGATCAGGAATGTGCTGGAAAGGGCCACAGCACAGCTAAGAATGTTCTCTGATAATAAATGAAGCAGTCACAGTATTGGTCCATAATATCATATGGGGATAACGAATGAGCCATGGCATAATACAGCCAGGTTATGGCTCTTACTTACTAGAAGCCAGGAGGCTAAAACTACTAGAAAGACTGAATGGCAGCCATTGGGCCCTGACAAGAAGGTGCTATGAGGCCGGGGTCCTTGTGGGCAAAACAGAAAGGCAGTCAAGAGGATGTAGCTCAACATCAGCGATCAAACAAGTCAAGGGGAAGAGAGATATAGTTCAGTGGTTAGAGTTCCTGCTTAACGTCTCTGGGTTGGGTTTGATCCCTTGCACTTCATAAACTGGGTGTACTGGCACACACCTGTGGTCCCATCCCTGGAGAGGCAGAAGCAGAAGTTGAAGGTCTTTTGCCTCTGCTACAGAGTAAGTTTAGAATCAGTCTAAGCTCCATGAGACCCTTTCTCAAAAAATAGAAACAACAAAAACAAGTCTGTTGTGGGGTCTGCTTAAATCCAACATAACTCAAACACCAGATCAATGCCGATGGCAAAAATGTATTGTAATCAAGCCGCTACTGATAGATCAGGGCTGCAGAATAGACTCTGGAACTAAACTGCAACACTGCAGGGGTGTGTACAGCAGATTGAAAGGATGAAACTCGAAAGTGAGGGGGATTCAGGTGGGCTGTAGCATTGTCCAATCATATTTTGACATAAGGGGTTGAACAAGGGAGTTTTCATCAGTCAGGATGGGAGTAAGTCCCTGGGCCTGGGAACATGAACTTGTTTGACCCTGCCAGCAAGATGGAGAAGCTGTCCCTGAGATAGCTGGACTCAGACAACTGTTCCTTACAATAGAAGCTGTTCAGCTACTGGGAAGTTCCCAGCCCCTCTAAGGCCCAGAACCTTGAACTTAATTTCTCCCTATAATTAAACACAGTCTGAAAAATGACATGGTGGTACATAGAATAAGTTTCTTTTGCTTGTTCCTAACAAAACTGAGGATAGAGTAACAGACAATCTTCAAGGGCAGTCATCCAAATTACAAGACATGATCATGTCAGCCATGGTGGATAAAAAATTCAAGGCTAGTCTGTACTACATAGCAAAATCCCACCTCAAAAAAAAGATGTTATGTGAAGAACCTCACCCCCCAAAAAAGCCTGAGAGGGCCTGGCAGCTAGAGATGCAGCTTTGTAGACTACTTTCCCAGCATTTACTGGGCACTGGGTTCTTAAAAGAGAGAGGAGGCAAGAGACCTTAAGATGCAGAGAACACAGTAGAAATACTTGATCTGAAAGAAAAGGGGAGGAATATTAGGAGTAGGAAGATTTAAGCAAGGATGGAGAGGGATCAGTGGAAAGAAGAGGGTGTGGGGGCTGGGAATTCACCTAAGGATGTATGAAGAAGACCTGTGGCAAAGGACTAGTTTTCAAGTCTTAAACAAACAAACGAAAAAAACATAGCTGAATGTAGCACATGCCTTTAATCCCAGCATCTGGGAGGCAAAGTTACAGGATAGCCAAGGTTACACAGAGAAACCCTGATCAGAAAACAAACAAACAAAACAAAAAAATGTGACTCACTGAGTCAGAGAAACTGGTTTATTTTTCCTGAAAGGAAGATGTTTGGCCAATCACAAGCCTTTGTTTGAAACAAGCACAGCCATTTATCTGAGCCAATCACAGCCTGCCTCTTAGCAACAATCACAGTTATTAACGCCTGCTTGTTGAGCCAATCACAACCTTGTGTCTTAACGCCAGTGAGGCTTTCCTCTGCTAGATCATCAAGGTCAGCCCTTTTCCACAGGTGGGGGGCGGAGTGAATTTAGAGTCATCTAGAATGCATCACCGCTTGTGAAAGCAAAATTCTAGTGCCAATTGTTTCCAGCTGGGTGTGGTGGCACATGTCTTTAATCCCAGCACTCAGGAGACAGAGGCAGGATGATCTATGCGCATTCAGTCCAACCTGATCTACATAGTGAGATCTTGGACAGCCTTAAGGAAACCCTATCACAAAAACAAAAACAAACAAAAGTTTCTAACAGCTGTCCTTGGACTGCCAGAAGCCAGAATGGCTGGTGCTGGACTAAGCACCTGTCTTTTTGTCCAAGGCATCCAGGGCTGCAAGCACAGTCCAGCTGCTAATTAAGGAATCAAGTAACTCCTCAGAAAACCATCCTTGCTTCTTTCAGGAAAATGAATATCAAGAATGCCTATGAATGCATATTTAAATAACTGAGGGAGGGGGCTACAGCTGGGATGCAAAGTGAAAAACTTGTAATAAATAAAAAAATAAATAAATAAAATTTAAAAAGAACTGACCATTAACACTAAAAATGGTGAATTTTAAGCAGATTTTAACAGTGCTTTTAACACCTGTTAGCCTGGCATAGATATGTCTTTAATCCCAGCACTTGGGAGGCACAGGATAGCCAGGGATACAAAGAGAGACGCTGTTATATTTTTTAAAAATTCAATTATGTTTATGTTTGTTTTATTTTGTTCGAGACAGGGTCTCAATATGTAGCCCTGGCTGTCTGGCACCTTGCTCTGCAGACTAGGCTGGCATCGAATTAACAGGGGTCTGTCTGCCTCTGCCTACCAAGCTTAGGATCAAAGGCATGTGCCACCACTACCCGGCTAAGTTATTATTTTTATTTTTTAACAGACTTGAAAATTGGTATTTTCCCCAGGTCTTCTTCATACATCCTTAGGTGATAAATTCATGGTCCCCACACCCTCTTCTTTCTACTAACCCCCCCCCATCCTTCCTTAAATCTTTCTACTCCTAATATTGTTTTTCTTTTACTTTAGGATTAAGTGTTTATTCTGTGTCATCTATATAGTAAAGCCTCTTGCCTCCTCTCTCTTATAAGAACCCAATACCCAGTCAATGCTGGGAAAGCAGTCTACTAACTAAGCTGCATCTCTAGACTCCAGTCCTTTCCTTTTTCTTTTCTTTTCTCGTTTGAGGCATAGTATCATGTAGCTCAGTCTGGCCTTGAATTCCTGATTGTCCAGTCCCTCTCTTCCAAGTTCTAGGGTCACAAACATGAGCCAGCACACCCAGCATTGTTGTTTTGAGACAGCATCTTATACTGGCCTCAAATTTATAGTGATTCTCATCCTTCAGCCCTCTAAGTGCTGAGGTTACAGGCATGAACCACCACACATAGCTCAAAATGAGTTGGTTTTGTTTGTTTTTTGTTTTTGTTTTTTGAGACAGGTATGTATGTAGTTCTGGCTGGCCTAGAACTCCCTGTTCAAAGTGGGCTGCAGTTCGAAATCACAGAGATCCACCTGCCTCTGCCTCCCAAGTGCTGGGATTATAGGTGTACAACACCACGGCCCCTTTTATTATATTATTGTTGCTGTTATCATTTTGTGATACTGGGAACCAAACTCAAGACCTCATGTACACTAGGCAAACATTCTACCAGCCCTACATTCCCAGCCCTGAATCTTACCCTTTCGGGGGAATGGGAAAGGCTATGAAGAGGTATTTGAGAGAGATTCTCTTGTCGCCGTGTCCGCTTGCAACTATACAGACCATTGTCTTTGAATTTGCTGCTTCTTTAACCTCTGCCTTCTAAGTGCTGGAATTAAAGGCCTCAGATACCCTACCTAGTTTAAGAGGGTTTGTGTTACCTGGGCTTCGTTCTTGCCTTTAATCCCCACAGTCCAGAGAAAGGGGCAGATAGAACTATAGAACTATTTGAGTTTTAGGCCAGACTGGTCTACATATGAAGTGCCAGTCCAGTCAGTGATACACACTGAGAACTGTACCCCCCCCAACAACCAAGAGGCTTCTTTTATTTATTTTTAGTTTTGCTTAAGCAGTCTTGAACAAACATTGTGCATGAGAGTCCTCTAGTTACACATCTTCTCAATCATTTCTTTCCATTTTTTTTCCCCTGTCCTTTGTTGAGACTCTGATGGCCTTCCTTCTTCCTTTCCGGGATTTTCCGACATTGTCAGTTTTAGCCTGGTGATATCCACTTTGCTGGGGTGTATGCTCATAAGGACAGCTGTGTCACTAGCCTTTTGTTTTTCTATACTTCAGTGTAGAAGACAGTTATTTTTTTCCCTGTACACCTGGAGCGCCTTGCCAATCAGCTGCCCTTTGTAGTACCCTTGGACAACCTGAACTTCATCATCCTTTCAAATGGGCATAGACTGAACATCATCCTTCTGCCTCAGCCCTTAGGAAAGAGAGGAAGACGTGGCCTTCCCACCAGATTCGAGGATGGGAGCAGGGACAACCTCTGTCATGAACTCGAGGCCTGTTCTTGGATCATTTGCCCCTGGCAATGAGGCCTTGGCAGAGGAAGAGGATCCAGGCAATTCTGATGAGACTTGATAAACTGTGGGCAGATGACATTGGTGGAGAAGCCCCCTTTCAGTGGAATAGGGGAAGGGAAAAGGAGGGAGAAGGAGGGAGGATGGCACTGGGAAGAATTGAGGGAGGGGGCTTTAATCGGGATATATAATGAAAAAAATTGTGGAAAAAAAATGTAAAAATAAAAAAATAGAACTAGAAAAAAAAATGTTGCTTGGAGTTCTCCATTCGCTCAGAAGTCATAAGGGGACTGAACTTCATTTTGGCAGCTGCCAATCCAATGATGCCCACAAAAGGGAAAAAAGTAGCTTTAAAAAAAAAAAAATTAATCATGAAGCTGATGAAACCAAAATAAACGCAAGAGGGAGAAGGACAGGCTAAATGAAGGTCAGGTAAAATTTGCAAAACCCAGGTAAAGGAAAAAAAAAAATCACACAATTCTGTTTGTGTTCGTTTGGGTTTTGGTTTTTTAGGACGGAGCTGTGTAACCCTGATTGTCCCGGAACTCACTCTGTGTTGACTTTAAACTCAGAGATCCTTTTGCTTCCGCCTTTTGAGTGCGGGGCTTTAAAGGTATGCGCCACCATTGCTTGGCCTTTTTTATTTTATTTATTTTTAGGTTTTTCGAGACGGATTTCTCTGTAGCTTTGGTTATCCCGGACTCGCTTTGTAGACCAGGCTGGTCTGTAACGCACAGAGATCTGCCTGCCTCTGCTCATTTGAGTACTGGGATCAAAGGCATGTACTGCCATGCCTCGCTGTTTTTTGTTTTGTTTTGTTTTTTGGTAATCCAGGTAGTCCAACCCGGGTCTTCACGGGTTACACAGCATTTTCTCACTGAGCTGTAAGCCCTTTCCAACTCTTGTACAATTTTGGGGACTTGGGGAGGGCGTAAAGTACCAAGCAGCCTCAACTACGCAGCCTGCTTCTGCCTCCTAAATGCTGGGATTAAAGGTGTACACCACCACACCTGGCCTCCTAAAATATTTGGTTGGTTGGTTGGTTGGTTGGTTGGTTGGTTGGTTGGTTGGTTGGTTGGTTTTGTTTTTTTGTTTGTTTGTTTGTTTGTTTGTTTTTGTTTTTGTTTTGAGACAGGGTTTGTTTGTGTAGCCCTGACTGTCCTGGAACTGGATCTGTAGACCAAGCTGGCCTCATACAGAAATCCACCTGCCTCTTCCTCCTGAGTGTTTGGATTAAAGACATGCAAAACCATGCCCAGCTTTGTTTAGGATTTTAAAATAAACCCACAACAATAAACTGTAAAGGAAAGTAAAAGATAAATGTAGAGATTAATGAAAGATAGAAGATATGTGTTGGAAAATCACAATACATAGACCTTATTTGGATTCCGATGTAAACAGATTTTTAAAATTTATTTACTACAAGAAAAAGAAATAGGCTGGGCGGTGGTGGAGTACATCTGTAATTCCAGCACTCTCGGGGGCAGAGTTGGGTGGATTTCTGTGAGTCTGAGGTCAGCCTGATCTTACAAAGTGAGTCTAGGCAGCCAAGGCTACACAAAGAAACAAACAAACAAAATTTTATTTACCATATGTGTATTGGTATTCTGTCTGCATGTGTTTGCCTGGTGCTGAGAAGGCCATAGTGAGCAATTGCATGAACGCTGACAGTTGAATCACAGTCCTTCAGATGAGTGCTCTTAACCTGTGAGTCACGTCTGCAGCCCCTCAGCCAGGCTCTATGGTATGTGCTTCTAATAAGAAGGCTTAGCAAGTGGAGGAAAGGCAGTCATGTTGAATCAGGCTACCTGATTCAGGCTACCTGAGCAGCCTGAGTTACATGAGGCTTATCTTAAAAAACCAAAACAAACAACAACAACAAAAAACCGGGAAATGAACCAAAAATGACTATAAAAATTGAATAAATGTATACATGCCTGGAAGAAGGGAGCATAAGGCCCAGTATAGATGGTTGTGAGCTACCATGCAGTTGCTGGGAATTAAACTCAGGACCTCTAGAAGAACAGACAGTGCTCTTAACCACTGAGCCATCTCTTTTTTCTCTTTTTTGTTAGTGTTGCTTTGTCTCAGGCAAAGGTCTTAGGCACAGCCATCAGGGTATCTCTGACTGGCCCAGAACTTGCTGGTATAGCACAGACAAGTATCAAACTCGGAGATCTATCGGCCTCTGCCTCCTGGATGCCATCACTAAGGATGTGTGCCATTTATTTATTTTAAATGAGAAGACAAAGGATTTTTAGGTGTTTGTTTTCATTCACTGCCTAGTCACATTAAAACAGGCATATTCCCCCTCCCCCCACATTCATGGCTGGTTTTCTGTCCTGTCCTGTGTACTGCCTGAGGTACTGCCCTAGAAGAGTAGCTTTAATGTGATAAACCTGGCTAAATTATGTGTTTTGTTTGTTTGAGACAGGGTCTCACTGTGTATCCTCGGCTGAACTCTCTTTGTAGATCAGGCTGTCTCTGCTTCCAGAGCAGAGTTTAAAGGTGTGTGTGCTTCCACGCCCAGCTTTAGTGAAAAGCTAATTTGTCTTTCAAATTCTAATTTACACTTTATTTTATGTATGGATGTTTTTCCTGTGTGCAATGGTGCCACCAAGTTCCCTCAGAGACCGGAAGGTCTCAGAGCCCTTGAAACTGGAGCTACAGACAGTTGGGAGCTCCTGTGGGGATCCTGGGCCCTGACTCTGAATCCTCTGGGAGATCACTGAGCTACATGGTCAGTCCACTAAGCATGACCTAATTATTATTTTTTTTCTAAATTAATCTCATTTATTTATTTTTAGCATGGCTTAATTCTTAATAAAAGAAATGAAGAAAATATAAAAGGGTGGGGAGAGAAACAAAAAAATCTCTAGCATGTGAATAGGGCACAGTGGCTCTGTACAGTGACCCCTGTACTTGAGAGGCTGAGGCGAAAGGATGGCCAAAAGTTCAAGGACAACCTGAGGGACACTGAGGCTTTGTCTCAAAACCATGAATCTCAGATCACTAGGTCACCCTTCGTAATCACCCGAAGCAACAGAATGACACCCACTGCTGGAAAGGAGGAGTCCTGGCCTGTCCCTAACTCTCTGGACATTATTCAGTTTCTATCCCAAGAGAGGAACAAGGATTGTCTGCCATTATCGGCCTATCCCCAAAGCCAGTTCTGGCAAACCTTGGATTTGGTCAGTGTTACCCGACTGTAGAGGAATCACCTGAGGGGATCATGGAAATACAGATTCCTGGGACACACCCTCAAGGGGAAGATTCAGGAGATAGGTTCAGCTTGATTTAGATTTCCAGACAACTCCTCAATAAATTAAAGATTAATTTTTGAGGCTGTCCTCTTTCATTTTTCCTCCCTTCTTCTTTCTTTCTTCTTTCTGATAGAGGCTTTCTCTCTATGGCTCAGGCTGAATAGAACTGAACATTTTCCTGACTCAGCCCTTGCAGCACTGAGATTACTACCATGCACCACCCTGAGGGAGGGTCTTACTCTATAGTCCAGTCAGACCTAAGGTCATGACCTTCCTGCTCCTATTTCTGCATCCGGAGCACTGGGATTACAGACATGCGCTAGCTCAAGCCTAAAGTTTTACAAAGGGAGGAGAGTGAGCTTTTGATATACTTAATAACTCAACTATATACTTTCGGCTACCAACAGAGACCAATAGAACTGATAAAATCACTGACAAAAGAGAAGTGGGTGGAGAGAGGAGGAGGGGAAAGAGCCCATTTAGGCAACAGGAAATTGAGGAAGGTTAACAGCAGTGAGCTACAGGCATCCACATCTTTGCTGCCTTTGTCTTCTCCCAAGCCTGCCTGAAGATGTCACACTCCAGCCAGGACATTTATGACAAGGTAATTTTATTTTTTTTCTAAGAGAATTGATTTTCTCTTTGAGTTGTTTTTCACTGTCTTTCTAGGTCTCACTTCTGTTTCCGGCTTGGGAGGAACTGTGGGGGTGGGGTTCAAATCCTCCATCTTGGAATACTCTTTGCTTGTTACATACACTGTATTTCCTGGGTGTAAAGGAATCTGTTTCCAAGATGCAATAGCAACCTGTAGGTTGTCTCCGGCAAGGAGTGTTGTAGCTAAAATTTAAAAAAAAAAAAAAAAAAAAAAAAAATTCTCCAGGAAAGGTGAGCTAAAATTGAGTGAAATTTTTTGGTAACTTATACATTTAAAAAATTGCCTTTTTTTTAAAATTTCCTCTTGAGAAGTAACCAGTTCCCAATATCGATAATGCCTGGTAGGTTTTCTGTCTAGGCTGGAGTGATTCTGGGCCAGATAGGGACTACTGTACCAAGTAGAAGATAGAACTGGCCAGGCCGAGTCACGCCTGCTTTCTGTTTGGCTTGGTTTGTTTTTGGTTTTTTTATTTTTGTTGTTGTGTGGGTTTTTTGTCTTCTTTTTTATTTGTTTGTTGTTTTTTGTTTGTTTGTTTGTTTGTTTGTTTTACACAGTTTCTCCAGCTGTCCCGGTTTTGTGGACCAGGCTGGCTTAGGTCTTTGCCTCTTCCTGGGGTTAGAGGCGTTCAGCCTCACCACCCTGCATGTCGGTTTTTATTAGGTATCAAAATTGAATCTGTCTAGAGTACCTTGGAAAGGTGCTATACAAATTTTAAAAGAAAAAAAATCAGTAATTCAGGTTTGAAAGTACTGGGGGTGAAGAGCTTTCAGTCGGAGAAGGGGAAGAGAGGGGGCCAAGTTTTCAGGAGCTTCCTCTGGGAGGTATCACTCCACTCCGAAGTCTTGTTCACGCTTTTCCTAGACTTGGCTTGTTACTTGCAAAGCAGGACAACTGAGATCACTTACTGTGTTAGAGAGAGTCCTTCCTCCAGGGCCTGGTAGTTCCAGGCATCCTGCTTTCCCGATGTTATCTTTTATGTATTTCAACACACAGTCATCAGGCTTGCCTTGAAAGTACACAAAATCCCTCACTGCCTCTCTTTGTAGAACTATGGTGAGGAAGAATTCAATGAGGAAGAAGTGACTTTAACCCTGGTCCCGGTCACCGAGGAGCCCGACCCAGAAGAGCACGCCCCAGAATATGTTACAGAATTGAATGCTTCTGCAAACATAGGCGTCATACCACCAGGTATCATCAAACTCAAGAATCATGGGGAAAACTGTATGTGTGGGGTGGATTTCTCATAAGCCTCTGAAAAGTAGACTCTTTGGTTTTTTTGTTTTGTTTTGTTTTTTGAGACAAGGTTTCTCTGTAGCCTTGGCTGTCCTTGACCCTTTGTAGACCAGGTTGGCCTTGAATTCATACATATCCTCCTGCCTCAGGCTCCCTGAATGCTGGGATTAAAGGTGTGTACCACCACACCAGGCAGGCTTCTAAATAAACCACATAATCCCTTAAACCTTTTAACCTCTCTGTCATTACCTGTGAGAAGAGATCAAACTGCAGCCTCACTCACTGCCATGTTTAAGATAGGAAATAGGCAGGGCACACAGAATGCTGTCACAGGGCAGCTAGGCAGAAGTTCAAAGACTAGTATGATCTCTTCCCAAAATGAAGTTAGGGACTGGGACAGAATGTTCACTTATCATACAGAAAGCATAAGTGGTTGCCACCACTACCTTAAAAAGGAAGGTTAGCACATACTGACTGTACTAAATAAACAAACAAACAAAAAGCCCCGGAGCTACCAGGTAGCTCCTAAAATTCTCAGTGCTTCTAGGAAAGGTATTACATGGTATCTTTAGAGCAACACGGGGCTGGGGTGTGCTATGTACAGAAAATGAGACTTATAGAATCCTCGTTGGAGTAGATTTTAGCAATGGTTCTTTTGCAAACAAGCAGGGGTTGTTTGTTTCTTTTTCTTTTCTTTTTGAGACAGTTTTTCTGTGTAACCTTGGCTGTCCTGTTATTTTTTTCTTCTTTGGTTTGTTTTGTTTTTCTGAGATAAGGTTTCTCTCTGTATCCTTGGCTCTCCTGGACTCCCATTGTAGGCCAGGCTGGCCTTGAACTCACAGAGATCCTCCTGAGTGCTAGTATTAAAGGAAGGCATGCACCATCACCAACTCTGGCTTAGTCTGAGACTTTTTATGTAGCAGAGAATGGCCTTGAACTCCTGATCTTCTTGCTTCTAGGTTCTAAGTGCTGCCATATAGGTACAGTCTCTGTGGTGCTGAGTTTGAAACCCAGCTCCTCTCTTGCAGTAGGCATGCCATCAGCTGAGTAACATCCCTAGTCCTCCCTCCCCTAATCCAGACACAGAATAAGCCAAAAGTATCTGTTCGTACAGCTGTGGAGGCAATACAACAAATGAACATGTTAAAATTCTCACATGGAACATGAAATTTAGCTGATGTGGGGTGCAAACATTTGTCCCCTTTATTCTTGTAATTCAAGGCAAGCCTGGTCTACAGAGAGAGTTCCAGGACAGCCAGAGCTACACATGGTGGCTCATACCTTTAATTCCAACAAGTGTGGATTGCTGTCCTGGGTCTCCTATTTCAAGAGGCATGTGATCTCGGTCAAGTGAATTTCATGTACACACACACACACACACACACACACACACACACGTATGTACACCCTGTTTTTTCTATCTGTAACTGGAAGAAAACAAGAAGCTCTCTTTGACTGCAAGCTGCTCTGTGTGGAGACTCTTAAAGCAATCACCTGATGTTATAGTTTTTGCTTTGTTCCTATTGTTTTCTCAGTTGCCCCTCTGCCAACTTTTGAACAAAAGGCACTCCCGGGAAAACATGCACAAAAGACCCCTCTGCCTGTCACCCTGCCTCCTATTAAGGACGTGTCCCGGAACACTCTTCGAGAGTGGTGCCGCTATCATAACTTGAGCACGGATGGCAAGGTTGGTACCCTCTGAGGGGATTCTGTGCTGCATGCGCCATGTACGGAGCCTTTGGTCAAGTTTTAACTTTACTATTTTTAATTTCCTTAGAAAGTGGAAGTTTACTTGAGACTCCAGAGACATTCGTATTCTAAACAAATATGTGTAAGTGATGGGAATGATGGGGTGGAGGTGGGCGCTCCCTGTGGGCTGTCCTACTCACTACAATGTATATATGTAACCTCCCTCTAAGGCAGGGTTTCTGACATTTGGGGGACCAAATGTTTGGTTTTTGAACTCAGAATGTCCCCCCACCCCCACTCTTTTCATTTATCTAATTGTGTGGGGTTTCTTTTTGTTTCTGCTTTGTTTTGAGGCAAGGTCTCACTGTGTAACCCTGGACAGTCTAGAACTCAGGTATCTCTCAGTCTCTGCCTCCTGAGGGCTGCGATTGAACACATGCGCCACCACACATAGTAGAGAAGTGTCTTAGGCTGGCCAACAACTCTGTGTATAGCTGAGGAGATGTGAATGATAAATCCTTCTACCTCCCAAGTGCCAGGGTTACAGGAATGAGCCATGGTCCCTTGCAGTAAGTTGCTAAAGCAATCCTTTACCATGTGATCCTCCTTATCCTCTTATCCTCCCCCGACTACTAATAGTTGGGATGACAGGCCTGCACCACTAGGCCCCACATGATATATTCGTGTGAATGTGGTCCTGCAAGATTATTTAGAAGCACCAAAGCCCCCATCCACAGGATAGTAGCAACAATCCTGTCTCCATCCCCCTAGGAGGTTCGTTCTAGCCATTTGTGGGGACAACCAACTTGTTACACATGGTTGCTGGAATCCTAACTTCAGTGACAGCAGAACTTCCCATCTCACCGAGGGTACTACAGCTGAGCATAGCACACACCTGGGATCCCAGAACGGGGAAGGCTGGAGTGGGAGATCTACAGTTCAAGGTCTTTCTCAGGCCCAGAGTAAACTCTAGGCCAAGATGAGGTGTTACCTCAGGGCCAAGCTAAGTGAGTGGTGTACTGCAATCCTAGCACTTGAAAGACTGAGGCAGGAGGCTGGGCAAAAAGTCCAAGGTTAACCTAAGCTACGAAGTAAGATTGTAAAAAAAAAAAAAAAAAAAAAAAAAAAAACAAAAACAAGCAAAACCATAGACACAAAAGCAACAAAAACTAAATTACCTGCAACAAATTCCCCAAAATAGCCAGGTGTGGTGGCACAGCCCTGTAATCCCAGCACTCAGGGAAGTAGAGGCAGGTTAATTGCCATGAATTCAAGGCCGGCCTGATCTACAAAGCAAGTCCAGAACAGCCAAAGCTACACAGAGAAGCCCTATCTTATTAAAAACAAAACAAAACAAAACAAAAATCCCCAAACAACCCCCTACGAGTGGCTGGGCCCCTGTCTCATTATGCAGTCCAGCCTGGCCTTAAACTTGCATTTGAGCTTTATCTAGACCTCCCGTTTTTTGTGTCAGTGTGTAGAGATCCATGTAGCAGTTTGCACATGGAGGCCAGAAGAAGGCATTTAATGTCCGAAGGCATTTAGTGTGCCTACTCCTTTAAGGCGCTGAGTTTTCTCAGCTATTCTGAAAGCCAGATAGTAGCAACAATCCTGTCTCCATCCCCCTAGGAGGTTTGTTCTAGCCATTTGTGGGGACCACCAACTTGTTACATGTAGTTGCTGGAATCCTAACTTGAGTGATCTTCACCACTGAGCTGTCTCTCCAGGCCACTCTGTCCTTTTTAACTGCCAACATTTTCTCCCTGTTGAGAACACTATCAAGAGGAGTGTTTCCGAATCGCCGTACTCAGGCCAGTGTGGAGTGAGGGTGAAATTGGCATAACAACCCTGAGCACTTTTGGATATTGATGAATGTCATTTGCAGCATATTCCTAGCACATCCCTTGAGGCCAGAATGAAGCCGGTTTCCAGGAAACCCAAGAGAGACGCCAGAGGAACCCAGCCTCAAGACAACTGCAAGAGTAAGAAGCAAAAGGAGAATGGTGTAGTGGAAATTCTAACGTCGGCTCGGGGATCCACGCTTGCAGCTTGGGGAAGAATTTCCATGAAAGCTGCTCAGCCAGAGAGTGTGAATTGCCGTCCTCTTCCTCCTGCATCCAAAGGGGCCTTTCTTGCAGAAGACGTTGGTAAGACCCACATGAAGGTGCGATCACTAACTACTCTTTAGAAGCATGGTTAACACCACCAGTCTGAGTCAGAAAGACTGTGAAAGGTAGAGTGTGAGATGTGTCATCTCAGCACCTGTGAGGTGGATGTTGGTGAGTCAGTAGTTCAAGGTCAAGGACAAGCTGGGTAATCAAAGACTGCATCTCAAAAGGAAGCAAAACTGGAACACTGTTTCTCAACCTACCTAGTGCTGTGACCACTTAAAACAGTTCCTTGTGTTGGAATGACCCCATCCGTAAAGTTATTTTCATTGCTGTTTCATAACTGTAATTTTGCAACTATTGAATCATAACGTAAATATTTTTGGAGATAGAGGTTTGCCAAAGGGGTCAAGACCCACAGTTTGAGAGGCACTGATGGTGGAGATTATAAATTTGACTCACCTAAGATAAACAGCAAAATCTTTTTCTTAAAGATTTATTTATTTATTATGTATGCAGTGTTCTGCCTGCATGTGTGCCTGCATGCCAGAAGAGGACACCAGATGTTATTATAGGTGGCTTTGAGCCTCCATGTGGTTGCTGGGAATTGAACTCAGGACCTTTGGAAGAGCAGCCAGTGCTCTGAACCTCCATCCTGGAACAGCAAAATCTTATTTGGAATAATGACACTGTCTCATTGCAAAATGTGAGGATTCCAACCTTGAGAAGGAAACATAGTCTAATAATGTAATTCGCTTCAGCTGAAAAAAGTATACTTTTCTTTTCCACTGAAAGCATTGATAGGGGTTGGGAATGTAGCTCAGTCAGTGGAGTGTATGAAGCCCTGAGTTAACATTTCTACCATCACATAAAACTTGCCTCTGAGGTGTGCACCTGTAATGCTAGCACATGGGAGGCAGAGGCAGGCTGACCTATGTGATTTTCAGGCCAGTTTCTAGTGAGTTCCAGGCCAATGACTGCTACAAGCAAGACTGTGTTTACAAGGAAGGGGAATTGGAGCTAGGCAGATGGCTCGGAGGTTAAGAGCACTGTCTATTCTTCCAGAGTCCTGAGAGTTCAATTCCCAGCAACCACATGGTGGCTCCCAGCAATCTGTAATGAGATCTGGTTCCCTCTTGTTTGCAGGCAGATCACTGTGTATATAATAAATAAACAAATCTTGAAGAGAAGAAAAAGAAAACAAGGGAGTGAGACAGTTGTTGTGGCGCACACGTTTAATCCCAGTATCCGAGGGCAGAGGGAGGCACAGTGTGAGTTCCCAAGTCCGGCCTGGTCTACAAAGCAAGTCCAGGACAGCCAGGGCTATTGCATCAAGAAACCCTGTCTCAGAAAAAAAGGGGGGGGGGGAATATAATATATTCTAAAGTTAATCCTGTTATAAATGCATGCATGTATGTATACTAGCAAAGATTTTTCTCCCATTTTATGAGCTGTCTTTTCACCCAGTTGTTTCCCTTGTTGTATAAAAATATAAACTCATGGGATTTTATTTGTCAGTCATTGGTATTAACTTCAGAGTTTCTAGAGGTTTTTTTTTTCTTTAGTAATTACACTTTACTCACTTTGTATCCCTCCCGTGGTTCCTTCCCTTCCTCCACCCTCTGCATGCATGCCCCTCCCCAAGTCCACTGATAGGGGAGGACTTCTTTTCCTTCCTTCTGATTCTAGTCAATTAGGTCTCATCAGGAGTGGTTGCCTTGTCCTCTTCTGTAGCCTGGTAATGCTGCTTCTTCCTCAGGGGGAGGTAATTAAAGAACAGGCCAATCAGTTCATGTCAGAGATAGTCCCTTTTCCTATCACAATGGAACCCACGAGTTTCTAGAATTTTACTTAGGAAGTTCTTGCCTATGTCTGCCTTAAAGTCTTTTTCATATTCCTCTAATAGTCTCAGGTCTTAGGTTAAGGTCTTTGATCCACTTGGAATTGATTTTTGTACAGAGTAAGGCAGATCCTCTCCATGTGTTTATCCGATCTTACATATGGCTATCTGATTGTTCAGGAATCATTCATTGAAGAGGCCCCTTTTTCCAATGAATTCAAGGCCAGCCAGGGTTGTTCCAGAACAGCCAGGGCTCAGAAAAACCCTATCTCAAAAAACAAACAAGAAAAACAAGAACAAACAAAAATTGGGTGACCGGAGCTGCATGGATTCATTATATCAGGGTCTAGTACATCAATCTATAAGCTAGGGCCACACCACCTTAGTTAATATGGCTCTGCAAATCTTGAAATCAGATGTTCCCACTATTGTTCTTTTTGTTCAAGATTGCATTGGCTCTCCAGATTCTCTGTGCTCTCGTGTGATTTTTGGTTTTCGAAAGTTTCAGAAGTGCATTGAACCTTCAGTTTGCTTTTGAGAAGAGAGCCATTTTTGCAATATTGATTCTCTGATCTAAGACCATGGTGGATGTCACATCTTTTAGGATCTTCAGTTTCGCTCAGTTTTGGTTTTTCAAGACAGGGTTTCTCCGTGTAGCTTTGGCTGTCCTGGAATCACTTTGTAGACCAGGCTGGGTCTTGAACTGACAGATCCACCTGCCTCTGCCTCTGCCTCCCCAAGTGCTGGGATTACAGGTGTGCACCACTTCTGACTTACTTATTCTAAAGTATGTACGTATGCATTGAGGTGACTGTGTATAAAAAACTTCCTCCTGATTTATCAGTTATGATTCTTTAAAGCAGATGAGTATGAAGTAGTATACTCACAGTGAGCTGTGAGTCAGAATATTGGTGTCAGTTCATTGGAGAAAATGGTATTTAATACAAATACTGGCTACCTCTCCTATTATAGGAAAAGCACAGGCTTAAGGGGGTTGGCTCAGAGGTAGAAGTCTTGCCTAGTATGCATAATAAGTGTATTAAATTATGTGAACCATTCAGCAAAATCTTAAGCACAAAGCAAGCATTCTGCAAAGTGGCTAAGATTCCTGTGGTTAAAAACTGTAATCTGACCAGTTTTTCATGCATTTCACTCAATTTATTTTTTCAATACTTATAATTTTTCAGTACACATTACATAAGAGCTTTGACAGTTTGTAAACTATCAGAAAATGCACTTAATTTTTAGCAACATACAAGACAGCAAATTCAAGAGTAGCTTACTGAGAGGTGGTGCAGAGTTGTCTTGATCTTGCAGTTTCTGTTTGCTTGTTTCTTCTCCCTAGGATGTAGATGGTGTATTGTCCACGGTGGATACCGCCCTGCAAACAAGAAAGGCTGGGTTCGCCTGCAACTTCACGCTGGTCAGACCTGGGTTCCAGAAATTCCCCAAAAGATGATTTCTCTCTTCCTGTTACCAGCCTGTGTCTTCCCAGATCCAGGAGTGGACGATAATATGCTCTGCCCTGAATGTGTTCAAAGGTAACACCTTAGTATCTCTCTAGTTATGGGAAACAAACAAACAAACAAACAAACAAGATGTCTAGATGAATTTCTGAATAGCTTAACAGAAACCGGAGAGCAAACACCCTATTTTCTTAATTTGCCATATAATCAGATGAAAATAGAAAATAGCACCTCGCTAGTATGGCTCATTCTTTTAAGTCTCAACAACATGCCTGACAAGTGTTTAGGAACTTAGTTCAAAACTAAATGATTATTAGGGGCTGGGAACATAGCTCAGTGGATACAGTGCTTGCCTGGCTTGAATAAGGCCCTGGGGTTTGATCCCCAGCACCATATAGAACCAGAGATAGGAACATAGAGGCCAGCCTAGGCAATGTGAGACAAAGCCCCAAGGAAAGTATACATAGCCTTATAAATACTGCTTTTGATTTTAGTTACATTTATTTATTTTGTTGGCTAATGTCACTGATTATGGTTGAGGTGAGGGCACAGGCATGCCACAGCACAAATGCCATGGTACAAGTAATCAAAACAAAAAATCAGGTCCTCATGTTTTCTGGCAGTACCCTTACCTGTCAAAACATCTGCCAGCCCTGCATTAGACTTTAGAACTCTATTAAGGGAAAACTCTGGATTTAACTCCCAAGCAACTTTTTTACAATTCTTTTTAACATTTGTCTTACAGCAATAAGAAGATCTTGAGAAACTTTAGAAGAAAGAAAATCCGAACAAAGAACTGCAATACACTGCCCCTAAATATGGCGCCTTAGACAATATCAAGGATTTATTCTGATCTGAAGGGAATGGAAGAAGCAAAGAGAAACATTCTTGTGTTCCCTATAATGACTAAAAATACTGGACATGAGTCTTCAGAAGTTCCTGCTCCTGTCTCTACCAGTACAGTAGAGAATCTGTATCTAAATCAGCATCCATCTAATAACACCCTGCTGAATCCCAATGTCTTTGGCATCTCCTGGTGGCTTTGTGTTAGAATTGTTAAATTGTTAAATGCTTAGCTATCTAGGAAATGATTTTGTTTTAACAAGTTGGTTTTGGTATTGGTATACTTTTTTCATAGTTTTTTTTTGGTGCGGGGTGGGAAAGCATTTTCAAAATAGATGAGCAGAACTCGTTTCCTTTTTTTGTTGTTTTAAGCAAGGCTTTATCATGCAGTAACTTTAGCTGGCCTAGGATTTCTAGGTAGACTGGGCTATTTACATCCTGTAGACTTCCTAAGTGTTGGGATTACATGCCTAGCCAGTAATGATATATTATTGATTATAGTAGAGAGTTCATTGCTTGTGCTAGACATCCTGTGGGTATTGGCAGTTGTCTAGAATACCATACCTTTGAGATCATATAATATACTACCTTTTAGACTGGCTTTTATATAGCAATATGCATATAAGAAATATCCATGTTTTTGATTGATTTCTTTTTAATGCTGAGATTCTGTTGTCTAATATGTGCTCCAAGTATTGATTCCACACTGGTGGATACCTAGTTGTTTTTATATATTTATGACAAGGTCTCATGCACCACAGGCTTGCCTTGAGTATGTTTGTTTTTTTTAAGATTTATTTTGTTATTTATACAGTGTTCTGCCTGCATGTATGCCTGCAGGCCAGAAGAGGGCACCAGATCTCATGGTAGATGGCTATGAACCACCATGTAGTTGCTGGGAATTGAACTGAGGACCTTTGGGGGAGCAATCAGTACTCGTAACCTCAGAGCCATCTCTCCAGCCCTTGACTTGAATATGTTAATTTAAAAAAATGTATTGTTTGACATTTCCCACTCTGATCACACTCATCATCCCTACCTTCTGTTACCGCACTCTTAGTCCCACCAATTGCACCTTTAGGGCCCTCATATAGACATAAATACAACACAGCTATTCACCAGTGCACAGGCAACTCACCAGTGACTAAACCACAGGTGACTCCACATGCCCAGCAGTCATCAGCTGCCAACAGCTTCCCAGGAAGAGCAAGGCCCCCATCAACCTCTTACTCTCTCTCACTGGCTTAGCCTTGGGCCCTTATTTCCTAAGTGTTCACAGTTGTGTGCCACCAAATACAGTTCATGCTGTGCTGGGCACTCAAACTGGGGCTGCCTGGCCAGCCACATACTTTTACAAAGCTACATCCCCAGTTGTAATTTTATGGTAGGGATAGAGTGTCTGCAGAACCAAGGCTGGTCTTCCAAATCCACAAACATGCCTCAGTGTCTGTTCAGTCTTGCACATAGGTTTCGGACAGTTTTGTTTTTTTGTGCCTCAGGCTTTTCTCTGAAAACTCATTGTGTAACCTAGAACTGATGCCAAGCTCCTGATCTTGCCTTAGCTCATAATATCAGATGTCAAGGTGTGCTACAGTACCCAGATCTCGGGCATGTGACAGTGACTTATTTCTTGCATTATATTGAGCCTTCCATAGCTCTGGGTGGCTTGGAGCTTTTCTTGCAACTGAGGTTGACTTTTAACTTCTGATCTTTCCACCTACCTAGTGCTGGCATGGGTATGTGCCACCATATCCACTTTTATGAAATCATCTAAGGTTTTCTGGATGCTACTCAAGCACTTGGTATATCGCACTAAACCTCAGCCTGGCATTTGAGTTCCCTTCTGATTTTTGAAGCAAGGTCTCCTTCCAAACCAGGTTGAACTTGGATTTATGATGTAGCCCAGGATGGCCTTGTAGAGACCAGATTCCATATTTTCCCAATACCATGTAATCTCAGTACCCAGGAGGCTGAGACAAGAGGATGGTGAGTTCAAAGTCCATTCCAAGCCATATAGTAACCCATCGCGGGTATTCTCAGTAATGCAAGATTCCTGAAAGTCAGGAACAAACAAGGTTACCCATTTCCCAATATGTTGCACACTGGTCTTGAACTCAGGATCAGGTGATCCTACCTCAGCCTCTTGACTGGATGGGACTATAGATATGTACCACCACACTCCAATTACACTGAAAACTAAGTATGGTCTCTTTACCTTAGGTTCCCATCTCTAGAGTATGAGGAAAATCATGCCACAAAGTGGCACCCTGCTAAAACACAGATTATATAAACACAGAAATTGAAAATAGTTCCTCCCACAAAGCCCTCCGTAATTCTCAGTTTGTTCTCATTCGTTCTTAACACATCTCTTTTGTCTAAAAGAAAAAAAAATTGGAAATGCCCTGAGCATGGGTGGTGCATACCTCTAAACCCTGTACCTGACAGGTAAAAAGCAAGAGAATTTCTGAAAGTTCAAAGGCCAGCCTGGTCCACACAGTGACTTCTCTGCCATCCCAAGCTAGTAGGCAGACCACAAAAGAAGCACTCACCCAGCACCTGACAGAGGTAGGAAAGACCTTGTCTCAAACATTAAAAGAAAGACAAAAGGAGAAAGGACTCAGAAATACAATGCCTTGCTGTGTGGTGCTGGTACATAGGTAGGTGGATCTGTGAGGCCAGCCTGGTCTGCAGAGATGCTTCCAGGACAACCAGGGCTACACAGCAAAACTCTTTCTCAAGCCGCTCTCTTCCCAAGAAAAAAATGCTGTGTCTCCCTTGACTCCTAGCAGACAATTGCCAACAGTTTCTCAATGAGGTAGGACTTTCCAGTTTGCGCTGGAATCTGACTAGTTTAATGTTGTGCGTGCACTCCCGGCTGCTGTGAGCTCATGTGTACAAGTGCACTGCCAAAGTCTGTCAGTATCTGCCAGATACTGTCCCTCAACACACATCTCCTTTCTCAGACTCTCATAATTCTTCTAACCCTTCTTCCATGATGTCTTGACCCCTGAGCAGCGGAAGGACAGCTGTATGAGGCGCAGATGTTCCATTTATAGCTCAGCACCCCAGTTTCTCTTCTCTGCATATTGACTGGAGGTAGGTTTCTGTATTAATCGCTGCCTACTGCAATGCCAAGCTCTGATGAGGGCTTAGAGATATACGAATCTTTGGACATAAAGATAAGAACAATTTAGATAAAGATAAGGACAATTTATTACTATGTCCATTTAGCAAAATAACAGTGCTAGGTTCTCGCCCCAGGACCTGTTACTTCTCCCACCACGGGCTTTTGGCCTGGTTAATGGAATCAGTAGTGGATTCCATCTCATAGAGCAGGTTTTAAATTTCAAAAAGCGGTTGGTTACTTCCATGCCTGCCACTATTACACCAGTGGACACATCTTTCTTTCCCAGCCAGCCAATATGCATGAAATTGCCCACAGAAGGCAGGAGACGCTGTTAGATCCCCTTAGGCTAGAGTGGTTGAGAGCTGCTGGATATAGGTGCTTGGAACTGAACTCGAATCTTCTAGAAGAATAGTAAGCAATCATTCCTTTCTTTTAGACAGAGTCACTCATACTATGTAGCTCTGGCTGTCCTGGAATTATGTAGACAAAATTGGTCTGACCTCACAGAGATATACCTCCCTCCTGAGTGTTAGATTTAAAGGTGTGTGTCACCACACTTGGATTTCCTTTATCTATCTATCTATCTATCTATCTATCTATCTATCTATCTATCTATTTTTTTTTTTTTGAGACAGAGTTTCTCTGTGTAGCCTTGGCTGTCCCATACTCACTTTGTAGATCAGACTGGCCTTGAACTCACAGAGATCTGTCTGCCTCTGCTTCCCTGCGTGCTGGGATAACAGGAGTGTGCCAACAACACCTGGCTTCTTTTCTTTTCTTTTTTTTTAAATTTTATTTTATTTTATTAATTACACTTTATTCACTTTATATCCCCCCATAAGCCCCTTCCTCCTCCCCTCCTGGCCCCACCCTCCCCTCCCCCTTCTTCACGCATGCCCCTCCCCAAGTCCACTGATAGGGGAGGTTCTCCTCTCCTTCCTTCTGATCTTGGTCTATCAGATCACATCAGGAGAGGCTGCATTGTCATCTTCTGTGGCCTGGTAAGGCTGTTCCTCCCTCAGGGGGAGGTGATCAAAGAGCAGGCCAATCAGATTATGTCAGAGGCAGTCCTTCCCATTACTATGTACTCTCTTGTACACTAAACTGCCATGGGGTACATCTGTGCAGGGGTTCTAGGTTATTTCCATGCCTGGTACATTTATCCACCTTTCAATATGCACCGGTGTTTAGAATCTCACTGCAGACAAATCGTTCCTGGGATCTAATCTGTACTAAAGGTGAGCAGACTTCCTTTCTTATTTTATTTCCCTTAACAACCCAGTTCTATTATCTACTTATACTTGTTCTGTTATTCTCATCTATAATAAAAGTGAGAATGTAGAGCCAGGCATGGCACACTCCTGTAATATCTTAGCACATGGGAAGGAGAGGCAGATAGATCTCTGGGAGTTCCAGGCCAGCCAGAGTTACATGGTCAATGGAGTGGGGAGAATACCAAAGAAGGTAGTTGGGATAAACTCAACTGATTTATCCTTTATTTCTTTATCTTTTCCCATTTTGCTTAAAAGACTTGAGCATCTCTAGTATCTGTGTCTGTGTATGGGCTATCTTGGACCCAATGCCCCACGCGGGCATGTTAGACAGAAGTAAAGCACTGTGCAAAGTTTCGCCGGCTGAGGTGGCACACAACTGTAATCCCAGCACTCCGGGAGGCAGAGTGACAGAACGAGGCCATTGGGTCAAAAAAGTGAGTCCAGGACAGCCAAGGCTACACAGAAAAGCCTTGTCTTCAAACAAACAAAAAAAACAAACCAACCAAAAACCAACTAACCATTTCATGACAGCATTTTCACGCCTTTTTAACATCTATGCTATTATATGTTCATGAATATATTTGTC